ACAGTTTATCAGCTAATAAAAGTTAATTTTGGGGTAAGTTACTCTTTAATGCACTAAACGCAGCGACACAAATTTTTAAGTATTATCTTTGGGGCCGGTTAAAATTATAGCGAGGGCCAGATTTGGCCCACGGGCTTTAAGTTTGACACGAGTCAGAATTAGGCTGATGTTTTTCTTGAAGGCTCAGATTTCCACAGACCTTATCCTCATTTATGATGTTTTCTTTAGGAAACTGAAACTGATGACTAACTACACACTGATGACCGCTAAGCAAATAAAATCATGAATCAGCTTAAAATAAAGTCTGTTAGCAAAATCTATAAAAAAATGCTAAATGCTCCTCATTTCAGTTTTATATTATGTAAAGGATTTAGTTGAGTCGAGCTTCCCTTTCCAAATAACTTCTAATTTTAAATTTCACTGTAACTCACCAAAACACTCCAGCTTTGTTTTTCTTCCACTAGATGGCACATTTAGGGGGATTGATTAGTGGGCTACAAAAAAAAAAAAAAAAAAAAAAAAAAAAAAAAAAAAAAAACTGCATCCACGCTGCATGTCAAACAGATAGATGGCGCGGTTGCTTCAGATTTGCTGACTATGTGTCAGAAAACCATTTATGTTGTGAAAACAAACAGATCCCCACCAATCACAGCCCAAACATCTGGACTTTAAACAACAAAACAAATCAGGCCTGCTGCAGAGCCTGGGTGAAAAAAGCAGAGTAAAAAAGATGTGTTTAGTTTGTTTATGAGATGCAAAATTATTTTTAAAGACTTTGCTGTGTGCAACAAACTCAAGTTGGAGGTTTTGTGCAAAGTTGTTGTAGGAGACAGGCTTCAGCAGTGAGGAAAAGGTGGAAAAAAAGAAGACATGTTTCCTCGCAGTTGATTGGTCCAGATTTTCCTCGTGCTGCCACAGTCCTGAGCACACGTGACCTCCCTGTTTTCACCCACTTTAACGCGTGTACTTAAAAGACGAGCACCGCCATTCACCAGCGCGCAAACACGACCGCAGCAACACATATGAGCCGCAGGTAAGTTCGCTGCTGCTGCGGGTGGGGGGGCTCGGAACACAGGAAGTGGACCATGGCGGCGGCCATGAGCACATCCACGGCCACGCTTCAGATGAAGCACCCCAGCGTTGAGCAGACGCGGAAACGCATAGACCCGAGGAGGAGGCAAGCGGCGCTGGATTTCCTCAGCAACATTTCCCTGGACGGCCGACCCGTGCAGGACACTGCGGAGACTCAGAGCCAGGAGGGGGGCTCGCCGCTGGAGGCACGGACTAGACAGCCGAGCTTGGTCTCCCCGGAGCGCCTGGTGGGGCTCGGCGCTGCTGGCACCCCCGAGACTGCCGCTGCTGCTGCAGCCGCCGCTACTGCCGCTGCTGCGGCGGCGGCTGCGACCACAGCCACCCAGGCGCTCGCCCTGGCGAACCAGGCTCGCCTCGCCAGCAGCCTGGGCAGTGTCGGGACGGGTCCCGTCGCTTCCCCGGCGGGCGCGGATTCGGACGGCGACGCCTTCACGCCCTCGACGTTCAACTCGCCTTTCTCCGCGCTCCCTGCCTCGGCCAGGGGGAGGCTGCAGACCTACACTCAGGGAATCCTACCTGCCCAATACTCCAGGCAGTTCTCCCCGAGCTTCAGCCTGGAGGGCGGCCAGACTGAGCAGCAGAGGTCAAGGTAACTAAATAATGGCTTTACTTTACTTTGTGCAGCTGGGGACGTGCAACATGCTCGGGGAAACTTTGGTTAACTCAAAAGTTTGCCTGCAGCTTCAGTTTCAACTTAGCATTATTATTATTATTATTTTTTGGGGTGGGTGGGGGAAATCATTCCAAGCAAACTCAATACTCCCATGTTTATCTGCAAGGATGAGTAGGAGTCTTGAATGCTGCTAAAATAAACTGTGTGGGTTTACATTGAAAGGCTCCACAACAACATCAGTCTTCTGAGCATCTCTGCAGCTTACAAAGCTGCTAAAGTGCTTGCAGCTAAAAACAAACAAACAAACAAAAGGCATGTTTGTTAAAACAAACAAAAGAAAAAAAAATTTTGCTGAATAATTTTTTTAAGCTTAAACAAGCAGAAGTTAAAATATGCTGAACTATAAAAGCTAAAATTAGCAGTACTGTAACTAAAAGCTAATTATAGCAAGCTGTAGCAATAATCTAAAATTAGCAAAGAAACTAAAGGCTAAAATATTCAAAGCGAGATCATGTATTTAGGACACTAAAGTTCAAATGTTTAAAAGTTGAAAGGAAAAGCAGATTGAATTCTGGGTATTTATTTTGGGGATGTTCCTGCCGGGTGGGAAAACCACAACTGCTGTGTTTGGAACCAAAGTCTTACTGTTGTTTTCTCGCTCCAAAACGGCACGGAGAGGTCAAAAATGAATGAACACCACAAGCTGTTTCCTTGCAGGTTTCGCACAGTCAGCTGAAAAGTTGCTCTCAGTTCCAAGCAGCGCAGTTGACGTGGATACAACAATATTAATGTCCCCACAGCAGGAGGAGAGTTCAGCTGCGCTCCATGCTGGAGGTATCCACCTCCATGACTCACTGTTCTCCACTGGGACAGATGCGAGACGATTTCCAGGAATCCAGCTGCATTTGGGCTCTTTTTCTTTCTGTTTTTGTTTTCTGTTCCCTCGCTTTCTGTCCTGCTCCCTGTGGTTTTGTTTCCGAAATGTACTTCTGTGTTCGCGCATGCATGACTTCAGGAAAAAAAAAAACTTGGTACACACTTGCTGTCTCCTGCTCTGGGTGACGTAAACATCCTGTAATTTGACACCCTTGTCCAGCTTTATGTGCAACAGGGGCTTGTTGTTTCACGCAGCTCTTTGTCCGCCTCATCTGTGTGTCTTTAGAGCTACGAGGAGAAATCGGAGGGTCTCACCTGAACCCGTGGTGAAACGCCACTAACGGTCATCCTCTGACTCTTTCAACCTGCTGTTGCCATTCAGACGAAATCGTTTCCACGTGTAAGCATGAGGAGGAAGTTTGGGAAAAAGAATGGGGAAACATGACAGGAAAACCGTAGCATGAATGCTGACTCAGCAAACGTGTGTACAGTAGAATGCATTGGCGTCTAAAYATTTAAATGGCCCATAAACAACTTTAACAAGCACATAATGTGTAAAAAAAACAAGATATATTCTTTTACGCCATCTGATTTTCAATAAGGCTTTGTTTTTTTCATGTGTTATAACTCCAGGGCACCCCCACAAAGAGGTTCACTACACATAATTAAAATGTCACTCCCCACCAGGCTGTGGTATGTTTATTTCAGCTCAAGACGGAGAGGATTCATCTAGTGGGAAAAAAAACCTGCATTGTACCATTGATTACAAGGAGCTCTACCCCCTTTTTCACCATGTCATGGATTGAAAGGAGGTTGTTTTGTCTTCTGGTCTTTATATTCACCATTCATGGCTTCAAGTTTCACCACATTGGCCTGCAGATGCAAATTTGTTGCAATCAATGACTAATAGTTTCCTATGTTGGATAAACTATAGCTGGGGGGCCTAGCATGCAATGAAGACTGCATTTCACCCGCAAGAGTTTTAAACCAAGACCAACTTATGGTGAGAACTCAGAAGGTTAGCGATTTGGTCAAACCTAGAAAATGACATTATGTGCATTGTTTCAAAAAATCTGTTCAATGATTCAGGAGAGATTTTTGTAACTGTACAAGCAAATGAACACACAGGCAAAACCCATTATTGCTTCACCTTTGCCTTCTGCGGCATGAAATAATAAATGCAGAAGACAACAAGCCACAATTATTCATGAATTATTTCATAAAATTCTAAAGATCTGGTTTTCAAGGGTCCATTCTGGCGACACATCAGAGGCCCTGCTACTTCCTGAATGGGGAGCGGGACTCGAGGCCAAGAAGTCTGAAGGGAGAGTGTGTCTTTGATTCCCTCGAGGCAGGAAGTGGAGAACAGAAAACACAGAGCGCCGAGCCAGGCCATGTCTCAAAGCCCGGGCATCCTGCCTCTCTCCCAGCCAGGGACCTCTCCACACATTTCCACCAGCTGCCCTTGCAAAACAAGCCAGGCACTGTGCGGAGCGCTCGTCTGTCTGCGGCGCGTTGGTGGAAAATGGCTCCGCTCTTTCAGATTACTTATTTCTCAGCATTAGGATTCGTTTTACGTGGCTGTTCTCCAAAGGCTGCACCAAAAGCAGGGGAGCAGTTAGAGTTTAGCAACTTCATGCTGTAATTAATGGAGTAGAACCAGAAGGTTAGATAAGTAACACTGTGGTTTTGCATTGAGACCAGAGTTCTTCAGTAAGCAGGTTTCATAACCTAATCGCCCACCAACAAAGGTGAAGGCTGAGCAATAATGTTTTTGCACAAGTGTGGGTGTGTTTATTTGTCTGTACCGTTGGCAATCTAATCGACCTTAGTCTACCCAAATATTGCCATACCGTATATCTTACATAGCCCATATTGCAATATGCATTCCTAGGAATGCGAAGCCTCTAATCATAAATTGGCCCATTTAGAGCTTTGCCTTAAATGCATCACATCCATCACTGTCTAGTTATGTCTCCTGGGTGTGTAGAATAGTTTTCCCTCCGTCCTTTCTCCCTAATTCACAGTTGGACCAAAATGTCTCGCATCCTGTTTCAGCCATGTTCCCACCATCCAGACACGATCCAGACTCATGGATGTTCAGTGTTTTTAATAAATCAAACAATAGAACCTGGTGGGAGAGGGGGCAAGCAGAAGCCAAACTAGTGGTCCTTCTAGGTTTCCTCTGATTGAGCCACATGCTTCTGGTTAGGTGGTTGATTTATGTGCATTGAGGTTATGGTTGGCATAATCACCAAATTATATAATGAGGTTTCACTTTCTTGTTTTGGCTATTAGCAAAAGTTTGGGAATCCCACAGGAGCTAAGACTGAACAACAATGTACAGTACATGTTTGAGTTTTATTATACAAATGTTCAGAAATATCACCCCCCTCCAAAGAGAAAATGTAATGGTAACTGATGCCTGACTCAGAGCGCTAACTGTTCTGTTAAAAGCYATTACCCATTGGAGTCAATTACATCTAGCTGTTAGCAAAATATATTAACCGCAGTATGGATGCATGATGTATCGGCATTCAATATTGGTCATTTTTTTAGAATATCGTATTGGTCCCATATGTAAAACTGGGCCGATATAAACATCCGATATTGATTTCCCATCTTTTAGCTTTGTGCTTTTGTTTTGGGAGGGGAGATGGTTGGTTGAGCGGCATCTGTTTTATCATGATAGTGATATTGACGCTGCACAGCCAGGAATAACTGAAGTAGGGAGCCATGTCACAGGTCTGGTTGTTTTATTTATGGCATCAAAAAAAAAAGAAGACCCAAGTGTGTTTCGTGTGTATATGTATAATATAATTTGTGTGTTTGTGTAATATTGGTTATCGGCCATAATAGCAATAATTATATCTGATATCTATCTGCTGAAATTTTCATATCTGTGCATCCCTAAACCGCAGCATGTGTTTTAGGAAAACTGTCATTACAGATGAACATCTACTGCCAAGAAACTTTTGAATTCAACCCAATTTAAGATGGTCACCACAGGCAACTCCCCTTCAAAAACACAGAAAAGTCAGCTGATCTTGGCTCTTTTTACAAATATTGAGCTAAATTTGTTGTGACCATTGTTCCCAACACATAGGTACAACACATTACATGATGGCCACCACAGCTAGTCAACATTATTCTACACTGATGATTATTCCTCAATGAACTATGGTAGTAGATAGTCATTCACAATTCATACTCCAAGCACCAACAGAACGTATGAAACAGTATTGCATGTGCAAAATGCTATTTTTAAGCTTCGACAAAAATGGCAACAACTCCATAATTTCTCAGCACAGGATGATTTTAATCTTCATCTCTGGCAGGAAATGCAGTGGGCGTTGTTGAGCTTTTTTGGCAGTGCTAAGCCTTTAATTTCCATGTTTTTCTCCTTGTTTAAGACACTAACCGTGTCACAYATTGTTGCTTTAACACAGAAACGTTTAATTGTGTTTATGTTTTGGTGGTGTTCTGCTTATTCTACAGAGAACCAGACAGGCTCAACAGTCCTGGCTACATTTCTTTTCACAATCTGATAATAATCACACTTCCTTTTTTTTGTCCAAAGCTTTGTTTGTGTGAAGACTCAGGACGGTACGTTTACATTTGCCCAGCAACTCTGCAACCAAACAGAAGACTATGTCCCGTGGCCAGCTGCCAACAGGTTGTACGTGTGAACTTCTGAACAGTCCCCTTTTAGTTTTATAGCTTTGTGCAAGGCACTACCGGACAGGATTAGCAGTAGCTTTGTTTTATTCCAATATAATTTTATCACATTAAATGACTAAATGCATCATGAACTGAGCTCACAACATGCTGAAACTAAACGACTTCAGGTAACAATAAAACTTGAATATAGATGCTCGGACTAGTTAATATAAGTACACACTGACTGTTCTAAYCCTTGCTCCTAAACTTGTGTCCTAATGTGAATGAGTGTCCTGACTCATGTTTCCATGTTTAGGTTTTTCTTTTTCCTAGTCTGGAAAAAAAATCTGCATTAGGAGCATGTCCTTCTGCAGCTGTTCATCAGCTGAGGCTTGATCAAAGTCCCAACATGCTCTCAGCAGTTGTGTAAACACTGGAAATATCTTTAGTAAACTGGTGATTTAAGCTTTAAGTAAGAATACAGAGATTCATCATGGAAAATGACTAAATGTTTCTTAGAATGAAGACAAATGGCAGCAACAGAAGATTTCCCCTCATTGAATTATAACACTTTGCTCTTTTTAAAGATAATTATTGTTTTCGTATGTATCTTCATAGACCAATCCCTTAACTGCAAGTTTGTCTGTACACAAATGATACAAAGTGTACACCAGAAAATCTGAAATTCTGTCAAGTATTTTTTTCCCCTTAGGAAAGATATTGTTTTGTGTCTGCCTACATATATTCATAATAAATCCTGACAGAATTGGAGTCACAGAAAAGATCATTCTTTGAGTGGAGACTCTCCAACCCTCTGCACACATAATTCTACAAATTTATCATCATGTGTCTGTTGGTGAAAAGACCGGCCTGTTAGGAAATGCCAAAATATTGCACAACTCCTTTTTTTTTTTTTTGCAGAAACTGCTGTAGACTCTCCTCTGCTGTAAAATGTGTTGTGAGATTTGTTCTCCTGTTTGTAGCGTCTTCCATGTATTTTTTCAAACAAAACACTTCTGCATATGTTGTTCCATTTTTCACAGTTGTGTTCAGTTGGCAGTTCAGTGCTTTGACTTTGGTTTATGGTTCTTGTAGCTTTATACTTTTTGACGTATTTATCTTTTATTTAAAATAAAAATCCCCACATAAATACATGGAGATTGCCAAGTGCTTAAAAACTTTATTTAAAATCTGCTTCAGCATATCTGCTTTATTTTTTTTCTTATGCAAGTTTTTGCTACTGTTCTGCCACTTTTAGCTAGTTTCTCCCCTTAAGCCCCCAGCTACATTTTTGCCACATTTTGCTACTGTTTGGTTAATGTAGCTACTTTTTATTAATATTTTTAATTTAACATTGTTTTTGCTAGTTTTAGCTACTGCTTGGCTCGTTTTAGTTTGTTCTATGCACTTTTCAGCGTTTTTAATTTTACTTCAGCCTGCGTTTAGCTCACTTTTGCCTCCATTCTGTTAAAATATTAAATTGAGGATTAACGGATATGTTTCAATATCATTTATAGGATTAAACAATGCAATAACTGAAGTGATACATAGAAAAAAAAGCCTCGGCAGTAAGTGTGTACTTTGAGGAAAGCTGGAGAGCTTTACCCCGTCTGTCCATGTCTAATCATTGTCACTGAAAAAAGAATGATGAAAGACTGACCATAAATCACATGATACCCCTAATCTGACCCTCAGGCAGAGATCAAACCAGAACATTTCTTTATGACCCTGTTAAGAGACAGTCAAGCAGAGACTTGGTTGATGTCATCCACCAGCTGTTCACATCATATTAATAATTGAAAACCTAACTTTGCTTTTGATTAGTGCGTAATGATCTTCACTTGTGTTTACAGTCATAAGAGCTGCGTTGGAAATCTGCTCATTTGACTCGTTAAATCTCCAACATGATCTCAGTCTGTTGCTTTAAACTCTGGAGGATCCCTCAGGATAAAGTGATTTTATATTTATTTATTAACTTGCTTCTGTACACTCCACTTTTTCTCATTTTTAAGTGTGATCAGTTAATTTATAATCATTTTATTGTTTTAAGGCTACTGTGTTACAGAGTTACAACTCAAAACAGTCCCTTTTCTATTCATTTTATTATTTCAAATTGTTAGCCTGCAAATGATATAGTATTATTCTACTACTGTGGTGCTAAAAGTGCAATTATTGCCTCATTTTGCAACAGCTCAGGGTTACTTGGTTATCACATGTTGGTTTATTTCTTGAAGCTGGCAGCTGATCATATAAAAGTGATCCAGCAGAATTAGCCCGTCGTGCCAAGCAGCTAAAGTCTGAAATAAAGGCCATCTGTTAGAAAATGTGTTACACACGGAGCTCGCAGAGCCAGCTCGTTATCCTCTTAGCAGCTCTGATCCTGGAAAATTCTCTGTGGTCTTCAAAAGACTGAGGAGATCATTGACCACTTAGCCGAGCGGCGGAGTTAATCGATGGCAGACACGACTGTGACCAACAGAACACAAAAAGACGAGTCATAATTTATAGTCACTGTTGACCTTTTCTCCAGAAGCTTTCAATAAACTACAATTTTTTTCCCCCAAGGGTTGGATGTTGAATTTTAAGGCTTGTTGAATCTTGGGTGAACAATATCTGTCAGATGTTGACATTCTCATGAGAAATGGGCTACTGGAACAAACCATACTGATAGAGTTCTGTGAAAAGTGGTGAAATAAGCACCGATTGCAGTTTTCTGGCCGATCACGATCTTTAAAAGGTTTGACCTGCCTATGGCAATTTTTTGAATATACTGTCAGGTATTACAAGGTCACAGTACACATTTAATGTTCCAACTTTATTTTGAAAAACATTGAACATTACTTTTGAAACAATACAAACTTGTTTAAACTGGACATTAGGTAGTGCTCACAGAGGAATTTGTTAGATGAGAAGCCGATCTTTTCCACCGATCTCCCAAAATTAAGGAAATCGGTGCTGATAAATCGTTCTGCCGATCAGCGCGTCCCTAATATTGAGTTAACAGCTTTAAACCAATCAATCCGTTGGGTTGCATTTGATGTGTGGGAGTAGTTTGCAGCATTCGGCACTGCTGGTAAATGCTGCTGACTTTTTTTGTTTCTCAACAGCTAAAGCTGACCTCACTTTATGTGGAGGTCTTATGGATTTTCTGCTCTCACTTGATCCATTTGAGGTTTTACAGTGGGCCTCATGTTTGTTTAATGTTGTACCTTTTTTTTAATTAAATTGCTTTGTGGTTCTGTTTCTTTGTCTGAGTGTGGGGTTTAAGCTGCAGGAGGGAAAAGGTTGAGCAAAAGGACTGTTTTGTAGATGTATGAGGGTTATTCCAAATGTTTTKCCAAGTGAAATTCACTCCTTCAGGTTATTTTTCAAACGTTAAACTTCCCTTCTGTTTCCCTTCTCAGGCGAAGACTCATCTCTCAGCGCTCTTCGCTTGAAACTTTAGAGGACATTGAAGAAAACGCTCCTCTACGCAGGTAGAACCGAACGGCCGTCACATTCACTCTTATCGTTTAAAATAAAATATTCAGCTTTAATGAATTCTTGATCCATTGACCTTTTTTTTTGCTGGTGTTTTTGTCTTTGTGTTTTAGATGTCGAACCCTATCGGGTTCACCCCGACCAAAGAGCTTTAAGAAGATCCATTTTGTAAATAACATGAAGCAGCATGATATGCGCAATGGAAGGTATGGAAGGCAAACTGTGCCACTGTTGAGTCAATACAAGTCTTGACTGAATGATGGCAGGCTGTCCCAGTCAACGAAGTGCAGACTGAATGTTTCTCACATTACAGGACACATTACAGGCCCAGTCCATTCACTTCACTGACTTTTAATTAGTTTATTTATTTAATTTAATCACTATTTAAATGTTTGTAATTACACCAATAATGATGCTAAATGAATGTGTCACAGTTTTCACCAGCATGATTGCAGCACACAAATCCCTCACGTAAAGTAAATCTTGGCTCATTTTATAAACAGTTAAAATTATTATAGCGTAGTACAAATGTTTCTGACCTATACTGGGTATTTAAATTGTCCTATTCATTAGAAATATAAAATAGCTCAGCTGGGTTTTGGTCTTGTTGGGTTGTGATGTGGTTTAGTTCTGAGCTTAGTTAGATTTTTTTTATTTTTATTCCCATTATTTCTTTAAATATAACAGGACGTTGTCTATACAGCTCACAACTTGGCAAATAATTTTTTTAAGCGTGTTGCAAAAACTGCACATACTGGAGCGGGAGAAAAATAAAAATAGTGCAAAAATACAACTTCATGCTTGTCAAAACATTTTCTAGTTCAAGCAGCTTCAGCAATTGGAACAAATTGTGTCTGACAGACTGCCAGTAACAGAGCTGAAAGGTGTGTAATTTTAAAACTGGTTCTTTGTGCGTTTTATTGTTCAGCAGTTTTGGTTTATTCCTTGAATTTAGGAGCTGCTTTCTGCTTAAATTATGTATACGGTAGTTCAGTAATAAGTGGCTTAACAAAAATACTGCCTTGACTGTACATTTGTWAAAATAAATAAAAGCAGGGTGTAAAAACTATTTTTAACCTGTCTTTAAAGATTTAAACAAAATTTCCCTTCTGAACGAGTTAAATTTAAGACCTTTGCTGTATATACACAATGCTGTACATGTTTTACCATATATCCAAACACAAACTCTTACATTTCCAGTTATTTTTGTCATTCAAACATTTTTATGTAAACTGTCCAACTTGAAGCTGTGGATTTTGACAGATGCTGATGAGCTTGTTTACCGTTTTTGTTTCTGTAGGATAGTCCTTATCAGTGGCAGAAGATCCTTCTATAGTGTATTTTCTGTCCTGCCATATCGAGATTGTAGCCAAGCAGGGTATGTATGTGACAGCATGCCAAACTTTTGTAACTTCGTCCAACCTGTGCTCCCTCTTTCCCCCTTTTTTTTTCCATCCCTCTTGAAGGCTTGGCTTTGGTAGAGAYATTTCTTTTTGTAGTCGTTTTAATGGTTTAATATTAGTGATGCTTCAGATTGAACCTGCTGTAGAAAGCTCTCTGAACTTCCTYGGTTTATAGGAATAAAGAGCTAATAACCAGTCTGAGCAGTCAATTTACCAGCTAGCAGTAGCATCAATCATTTCCAATTTGAGGTTGTTCAATGATCTATCTACAACAGATCTTACTTGTTCATTTCCATTCCATACAGCCCCACTTCAAAAGATCTGAACTATCYGTTTTTAMTTTGTTTAAATGATGAAGCTTCAAAGGCTTGGTTGTGTATGCTTCTCCTGTCAAAAATGACTAGATAGTTGAATATTTGTTGCTTGTTTTGCTTTTTCCATCAATGCTCTGGGGGGCTTGTGGGGAATTTTTTTTTTTCATTTTTCCAGTTTGTTGTCATCCAGAGGAAATGTTGCTTGCTCTTCTGTTTACCAAGTTAACCGTTCCTGGGCCACATGCACTTTTCAGATTTATGAATTTGATCCCTGAACTTGTTTTATTACAAAGCGAGCTGTTTAATCTCAACCATGCTGGCAGACTTTCTGCTGCACGTTCGTATCACGGCTTTGGTTATTGTGTGCCAGTGTCACATCTAAGCTGTGTAACCGAATATTTTTTTGTCTTAAATATGGATATCGCTTATCTTTTTAAAAAAAAATTAATAAAAAAGGAACATAAAGCTCTTTGTAGAAGCACTTAACCTGGCTTGCTCTGAGCCTAGTTGCATGAGACGTGCTCAGACCACAGCCTAGTCACTTTGGAAAACGTGACACGAGGTGTTTGTGGAGGGAGAGGAAGGGAAACGGGACAGATAAACACCAGAGAGGACAATGCACAGAAAGAAAAGCTCCATGCCAGGGTTTAGCGAGGAGCAATAACAAGCTCAGAGCATTTGTGGAATGTCCTAAGCCAGCCAATCAGTGTAGGGTCAAGGGTTAATAAACCCCCCGCCACTCTCCAGAATGCACGTCTGACTGTTTTGTTGCAGCTAAATGACGGTTTTCAGCTTCAAAACATCATCATATTGAACAACTTAACACAAACAGCTCATTGGACAGTTTGGGTCATTGTTTCTCTGTAACACTAGTTTTATGCTTACCTTAAATTTTACAATATCAAAAAAAGAAGTCGGACATTACAAAAAATGTATTGATTTCAATAATTCTTTAAGGTTTTGAGGCGTGACTAGCTGGATGCTTTTAACCTTTTTAATTCTAACATTTTTCAGTCCTGTTTGGCAGCTTCAGAACTCAGAAAAACAGATGAATTTTCTTAGAGTGTTTGCTAATGAAGTCTCCAGGAAGGAAAGTGATTTAATGTTAACCTTTTGGGTTATTTTTGTATWTCTGATCTGTTTAAAACACTTTGAAGTGCATGAAGAGCACAATACATAGAATGAAACACTAACACCTGTGATTCTTGCATGTTGCTAAATAATGGTAGCGTTTCCTTTCCTCTCTGTTCTCTCAGTAGACTCAATCAGAACCTTTTTATTTAGCTTTATAGGGGAACACACTCTCTCTCCCTTAGAAAGCTTTTCCTTGTCTCCTGYTTTGCCCCATTTTTTTTATTTTTTATTTTTTTTCCTTTTTAATTTCCACCACCCTGCAGAACGCCTGCTGCCTGCGGAGCTCCTTTGCCATGATGTGTCAACACTGTGTCCTGACGTGCTTGTCTGCCTGATAACACTGTTTTCATTTCAACACATCGGTCCCACATGTCTTCTAAACACGGGGAGAGTCATTGGGGGGGGGTATGTGTTTGCATCTGAAGACAGTTTAMATGGGCAGCGAGACTGAGGCAGGGAAGATAAGGGAGCAGCAAGAAAACAGAACGGTTTAACCGTTGTTGTCGTCCTAAAGTGTCGCCACTCTACAAATATTGTCAAAAGATAATGTTGATTCTTGCCCAGCTATTTGTTGAGCAATAACTTCATTGCAATATATATTTGCAGAAAATAATAAATGCCTATATATTTAGCTCGTACAACTTGTAGACRGAGACTAGCTGGCCACTATTTGGTGCACTGGCACACTTTTTGTTTTTCAACCATCTGTTTTCTGCCTCACGAGGGTCTTAGCCTCCTTTTGCAACCGTTCCACAGCAGTATGACATCTCGGGCACTGCTGAGGCAGCAGCTAATTTTTCAAAAGGGTTGGCTGGCTCCAGCACTMCATCCTTTCCTCCCAAGGGCCCGCTTTATTTCTGACTGCCTTGAAACGCACCCAAAGAACACCAGCAATTACAGAAACTAGGCCAGCTGATGAGCGCAGATCGATAAAACGTCTATATTTGTAACCTAGAATACGCGTGTAAAGAAAAAAAAAGAGGAAGAGCAGGGCTGGCGAAGACGAAAGAAAGTGAGAAGTCAGAAGAAGCTGCAGCTTAATGTTTGGTGAAAGCTCTAAAAAAGTCTTGTGCTCAACAGGGATGTAAAGRCAGAAGGACGTCAGCGACACCCATCAGGAGGTGTAAGTGCCAAGGAGATGGTGATTGGGCTGGAAGGAGTGGAGCTGGGAGCAGATGGAAAGGTGAGAAACCAATGAAAATGTCTGTTGTAGGAGTTCGACATTGTCATGTTAAGTTTTCTAAATAAGGCTTAATTCCTGCTGGGAATTGGCATTTGAACTCTGTTTACATAGCTGCCTTCACAGAAAACATCCAACAAAAAAGAAAAGCTTTATTTCTGCTGATCATTTTTGTTAGGGGACTTATGTAAAGCCAACCTTTTTAGACATTAAATGCATTTTGTTGTGTGCTTGGAGTGTGTAGGAGTGCAGCAGTTTTGAATTTAGTCGCTCCGGGTGCTGCGTAGATTTCTTGATATTCTGTTTGGTAGGGCTGTGTATTGGCAAGAATTTGGCGATACGATACATATCATAACAGAGGGGTCACGATATGATATATCCCGATATATTGCGATACTGTAAGCAAGGCAATATATTGCGATATATTGTGATTTTTTTTTTTGTCCAAAAATTCTATTAAATAAAAACCTCTTACCGAAATAAAAAGAAAGAAAAGCTAATGTTTACTCACAATGCTAATGCTACCCTTACTCTCTGGCGCTCAAGAGGTAGAGGAGCCAAATGGCTGGCTCACTGCTGCCAACTAGTGGTCAGAGGCTGAACTACAACATAAAAATGAATGAATGGCTGGCAAGAAGGTTGACATTTTAAACCTTAATAAAAAATCGATACAGGGCTTTAGAATATCGATACAGTATCGGGAAATGAAATATCGCGATATTTCAATGYATCTATTTTCTTATACCCCTACTGTTTGGGCTGTATTTTTCAGCTCATTCAGTTTTCTTTGTTCTCTATTATCTTTTCTGAACTATTACATCACAGTTTTGCAATAGAACTGCCAAATAAGGTCTGGACTTGCCAACTWACCAATTTAATCGTCTTTATTCTCCTCTGGCTCTTAACTCAAACATGTAAGGCTGGATGGACAAGTCTTCCCTTGTTGACGTCTTCTAATATTAAATTAAAAAAATCTGTACTGGCATATAGTTGTATCACTGCTATCAAACTTGAATTTAAAGAGACAAAACGAGTTGATCTGAAACACCTCAGAAAATGGGTGAAAGAGGGGCTTGTGGAGCTACAAGGAGGAATTCAGACCAAAGCGTTGCAGTTCCACTTTATATAGACCCCAACTGAATGATTTAAATTTGAAAAGAAGGATTTAAAAGCAGGAAATGTCTCCTTTTTTAAAGGCTAAGTAATTCAAATTACAACAGAAAACCAAATAAGTTTTATGTATTTTTTTCTCAGACATTTAAAAGCCTATTTGTTTTTGTAGACCGTGTCCTACACCCAGTTCCTSTATCCCACCAATGTGTTGGGAGGTCGAAGGAACACGATCGACTCCACCTCGTCCTTCTCTCAGTCTAGAAACGCGAGCCACCGCAGCCTCAGTTTGGGCAGAGCCAACAGCAACCAGAGCAGCTTAGACACAGGTTAGTGGACCGTGAACACGTACTTAACTGATTATGGATGTTTGGAAGCTTCGCACTCAGCTAAAATGTACTTTTATTTCAAATTAAAAGACGGAGCTCTGGTTAAACCTGTTGTTTTTCGTTTGGGTGCCTTGCAGGGAATGACTTTGCGGAGTTTCGGGAGTACGACCCCAACCTGCTGGAGGATCCGCAGTGGCCTTGTGGAAAACACAAACGGGTTCTCATCTTCCCCTCGTACATGGTGAGAATGTACATGACCACGTCCAACACACCACTACCGGCAACGACAACAAAAACAACCTCTGTCCTGCCCTCTGCAGAGCACGTAGAGAAGATTGTTTTCTCTCAAAACAAACCTGAACAGTGACTCGTCTCTGCTTTGACCGTCTTCTCAGCAGTCCCTGTGATATCTCACCATATATGCTTACTATCTCAGGGCTGTTTTCATTTTTATCATCAGTGTTGACCTTTTGTGCTCAAATCTTCCCACCGCAACCAAGAACAATAACACCGGAAAGATTTGTTTTGCAGTTTGTTTCTGAAACAGAAAAAAAAATTCCTGAAGTTTATCAGCTATAAAGGAGTCAGGCGGATGTTTTAGATCATCTTTAATCTGCAAGGTCAGTGGTGCCGTCTCTCTCTCTCTTATTATTATTCTGGGCCTGAATAAACAAATCCCCTTTACCTCTGAGCTGCAGCTCATAAAAAGTCACTATAACAAAGCAAACAGTGCAACAGCACCGTGTTTGCGCCTCAGTTGTGCTTCTCCCTCTTTACTGATAAATAAGACCAGGTTTTATTGTAGTTGGAAAAAGAAAAAGGAGAAAATTTKGTTTTTGTTGCACAAACTTGCAAAATGAACAAGAGCTGACAGAACTGAAATGTTAGTCAAGGAAAGGCTGAGGTTTTTTTTTCGTTTCTTCTTCCTCTGATTACAAAACTCAGGGTCTGACAACAATAGCCATTGTATTTACTACAGCAGTGGAACTTGTGAATTCTTTGCATTCCAAGARCACGGGCCGCTTGCAAGACAAAGCAAAGATCCAACGCTTTGCAAATGAATGAGAATGTATTTTTAACATTACACAAAAGGAAAAGAAGTGAAACTGTTTTTAAAAACTAAACGTGTTGATTAGTTTTTCCGGGGCTTCATCCTCTGAGCACAAGGTGTTTCCACACCTCTGCTAGGAATGTCAGGTGTTCTGTCATGTAAAGTGGGGAAACAAAGAAGAAAAACCAAACAGACAAGTCGACTTCCCTCATACCAGAACCAACTATTTGTTATCTGGTTGATAATTAATAATGAAAACGCAAAGAATCAAAACCCGAGGGGTCATATTTGGCACCAGCACCCAAAGCGTCTCCTCATTAGCCCGTGGAATTCAACACCGGGGTGTAAGAGTCCAGGTTTGTTCCTCTCCGTGATCAGCCTGCTCTCGTTTTGACACCGGCTCTGGTTCTCGTTTCAGACCACGGTCATTGAATACGTCAAACCTTTCGACCTGAAGAAGGACATGAACGAGACTTTCAAAGAGAAATTCCCTCACATTAGGCTCACGCTCAGCAAAATCAGAAGGTAAATGAACAAAAAAACTGGAGAAATTGGGCTGATTTTTTAAAATGACTTTCCTTTTAACTTCTTCCTTTTCTCTCAACTCCCTCGTGTGTGTGTGTGTGTGTGTGTGTGTGTGTGTGTGTGTGTGTGTGTGCGTGCGTGCGTGCGTGCGTGCGTGCGTGTGTAGCTTGAAAAGGGAGATAAGAAAACTGGCTCACGACGAGTGTGGCTTTGAGGAACCCACCGTGGCCATGGCTTTTGTCTACTTCGAAAAGCTCGTTCTTCACGGCAAACTGAACAAACAGAACCGTAAACTCTGCGCCGGAGCGTGTGTTCTTCTGGCAGCGAAGATCGGCGGCGACCTYAAGAAACAAGAAGTCAAGCTTCTGATTGATGTAAGTCTTCGGCTCAAGTTTTTCTTTAAATTTGACGATTTTTGTCTTTCAGTGTTTTTCATGTGGAGTTCTTTTTAGGCTGAAGGATCTACAACTCASTTTTACAGAAACTGAGCTAAAGTGTGATGTGGTAGCTGAGAGTCATTAACAACACAYTCTGAAGGCTGGTTTGTACCTGGAGTCACACAAATTGGTCCCCCTKCTRAGTGACAAAGAATTGTGTAACTTCCRTCTGCTCTYCCGCTSCTATCCCCCGTTGATAGCCGTCGTGTACATTGCCCCAAATAAAACTGCGACACGGACCTTTCGTCTCAGAGTGTGATTAGTTAGAAAGTTGTGGGTGTGTTTGCTCATGAGCTGGACCAGATCAGGGCTCCAAGCAGCTCTTCCTTCGGCATTTGTTTTGTTTWAAATAGGGCTGCACAATATRTYGCAAATTTATCGTTATCGCGATAACAGCCAGTGCAAWATGCATATCGCAAAAAAACGCACAAATTACAATAAATGATTTGCTCCAATGTTTGCATCTATGTTGTTTGTTAACATTAGGGATGTCCCGATCCAGATTTTTTGGCTCCTGATACAATCCAATTTTTTTAATGATTAGTCTTTCCGATACCGATCCGATACAGCTTTATTTCTTTTTCTTTCCAAGTGACAAGGTTGGTAGTATTAAAGCGAGCCCTGCTGTTCCCACCACGAGAAACATCCAGTTTGCAGATTTTGCAAGCTGCAGTTTCAGCATCGTTTTCCATTGAAAAGTGTTCCCACACTGTGGACATGGTTGCACACTTGTGTGTGTCTTGACCTCTTAACGGCAGTTGTAAAGCATGATGATGCTGAAAACTGTTGCGAAAACTGGATCGGCCCGATCACGTGACTAAATCCGATTCTACCCGATTTTCAAAAAATGGCCATATCTGCCACCGATACCGATACTGAGTATATGACCGGGACATCCCTAGTTAACATCAGTCTGATAAACAAAATGGACCAGAAAAACATCAAATCATAATGACCTCATCATGTTGTAATGGGAATTACAGCGGGTAAAATAAGTATTGAACACGTCACCATTTTTCTCAGTAAATATATTACTAGAGGTGCTAATGACATGAAATTTTCACCAGATGT